CTCCTCGCTGCAGGACGTTGTGAAGACCGGGCCTTTAGCAGGGTTCAAAAAAGAGCTAGATAGATTCATGGAGGTTAGGTCTATCCATGGCTAAGAGCCAGGATGGGTCGGGAGGGTGTCCCTAGCCGCTGTTTGGAAATGGGCGACAGGAGAGGGATCGTGTGAGGATTCCCTGTTTGGTTCCCTCCATTTGGGGGCATCTGGCATTGGCCACTGTCGGCAGAGAGGACCCTGGACTAGATGGGCCTTTGGTCTGACTCCGCCTGTCCGTTCTAACAAGCCGCCCATTCTTTCGTAATATTTTTCTTTGCCGTGTGGATGTAGCCCTGACGAGGAACGCGGCTCCCCCCTCGGAAAAGCTCGGATTGCGTAGGCTTACCAGCCGGGGGGGCGGTGCTGTTCATTGCGCGAGGGGGGGAAAGGCAGCGAGCCCTTCACAGCGCCCCGCAAAACCAACTGGGAATCCTGTGACACCCTCCTGGTGAACGCGTCGTATTTGGGCAGGCGAGTTCCGGGGCGATGGCGCGTTTCCGAGGAGGCTGGGGAGAGGCTGTTCCGAACGAGGCGCGATGGGCTCCCGTTGCAGGGGAGGAGGGCTAGCTTGGATAATTCCCGAGGAGGGCGGGGAAGGGTTAGGGTTAGGGAGGGGGTACAGTCTCCATCGTGACAGGTTTACGTCCCCGCTTGACCAAACTCTGCCTGGGCTGACTGAGTTGGGTTGGTCCTGCTTTGGGCGGGGGGCCGCAAACAACAGGAGAAATGATTTCTCACGGCTCCGCTTGTCCGGACTGCCCCACCTAGGAAGAGGTCTCCGTTCTGCTCCGGACCACCGGGAAAGCTGGATTTTCACAAGGCCGCAGAAGAGTCCCCCCGCCTGCAGGAAGAAGACGTTGCAGGGGGTGCAGAAAAATCTCTCTGGTGGTTTCTATCCTCAATGAAGGGATCCGGGGCCAAAAGGCTATTTTCCCTGACCGGGAATCGAACCCAGGCCGCGGCGGCGAGAGCACCGAATCCTAACCACTAGACCACCAGGGAAGTGGTGTAAAAGGGGTGTCCTTTCACCCTCCTTCCCAGTCCTGCGTCTACTTGTGTAAATGGGTGAGAGTGACTCCTACAGCTGGAAGAGGCCTCGGGAGCCATCAAGTCCAGCCTCCAGCCCAAGGCAGGACCAACCCAACTCAATCAACTCCGCCAGGGCTTGGTCCAGCCGGGACTGACACACCTCTAGGGATGGAGACTCCAACCCTCCCTAGGGAACCCAGCCCAGCGCTTCCCCACCCGCCTCGGGAAATCGTTTTTCCTAATATCCAACCTGGACCTCTCCCACTGCAACTTGAGCCCATTGCTCCTCGTTCTGCCCCACTGAGAACAGCCTCTCTCCAGCCTCTTTGGAGCCCCCTTCAGGAGATGAAGGCTGCTCTCAAATCCCCCCTTAATCTGCCCTTCTGCAGACTAAACAAACCCAAATTCCTCCACCTCTTCTCATAGGTCATGCACTCCATCCACTGAATCATTCTGGTTGCCCTCTGCTGGACCCTCTCCAATGTGTCCACATCCTTTCTGTAGTGGGGGGCCCAGAACTGGACACAATACTCCAGATGTGGCCTCTCCAGAGCCGGATAAGGAGAAATAATCACTTTTGTGGATCTGTTGGCAATGCTCCTCCTCATGTACCCTAATATGCCATTAGAGATCTTGGCTACAAGGGCGCACTGTTGGCTCATAACCAGCTTCTCATCCACTGTGATCCTCAGGTCCTGTTCTGCAGAATTGCTACTTGCACCAGTCAGTCCTCAGCCTGTAAATTCTTCCGTCCCAAGGGCAGGACTCTGCACTTGTCCTTGTTGAACCTCATCAGATTTCTATTGGCCCAATCCTCTAATCTGTCCAGGTCACTCTGGACCCTTCCCTGCCCTCCAGCGTATCTACCTCTCCCCACAGCTTAGTGTCATCTGCAAACTTGCTGAGGGTGCAATCCATCCCCTCATCCAGGTCATTAACAAGGATGTTGAACAAAACCGGTCCAAGAACTGATCCTTGAGGCACTCA